TGTCACACGTCCAAATTTATGCATTACATTGTTCAGAGCATACAAAAGGCATCATGTGCATCATGTTTAATTTTGAGCATTGTCTGCAATTGCTTTGTTTTAAATTGAAACGAGTGCAATATTTGTGAAATGAAGCTATGAGAAATAACCATCACATCTTCTGTACAAACCTGTCCATGTAACAGTTTTAAAATTTACTTCATATCAGACCATGATTTATGGACCCTTTCTTGAATATGATGAAGTCTTTTTCAGCCCTTAAGATTTCAATAAACCTTCTCTGACTGATCAAATTTAAAAATTTACAGATCAAAATCTGTAGAACTTTTCTAAGTGAAACTAGTTCAAATGGGTTCATGCTGACCTGTAGCAACAACAGAAAAAGTTTCATTAATTTTGGAGCTCTGGAAGTGGTAGAACTTGACTGCAACTTTGGAGAGAAATAAAATGACGAAAATTCAGAATACAACCTGACCCACCTGTCATCCCCTCTCTCTTCTTCTCCTTCCTGTCGATTGGCCTGCAGGGGCGGCTCTCCTTCAGAGCAAAGCCAGAAGTGCTGGGCGCTGCTTGCTCTCTCCTCTTCACCTCCCCAGCCTTATCCTCTCACGAGCTGTCCTCTACCCTCCTCTCCTTCTCCCCATTTTTCAGTCCTGAGAGAAGACTAGCAGCTGCAGCCGCAGGACAACCAAGGAGCAGAGCCATGGTGGATTTTCTAGGTGCGCCCTGCCATGAAGATGCTGCGAGAAGATCCTCCTGGACGGCCTGAATCGCCACCAACACCAGCCCTAGCTTGCACTGCTGAAATCCGTTGGGCCCGGCCTGTTCTTCCCCAACTCCGGCCAGCAGGCGTCGTCGTCGTTGGCTCCATCCTCCGGTGAGCCTTGGTTCAGTCCCTGCTCTGTGAAGGTTTTCCACAAGCCTGCACATCCCTTGACCTCCCTGCATGCAGCTCCTCTGTTGCATCGATCCGCAGCTGCCGGCATCAGATTTGAAGTCCTCCTGGTGCATCGTGTTGTTGCTGTTTTGCACTGGCTGCAGTGGGCTCCAAACTGCCAATCCACACATAATGCTTTCCCGATCCAGCCTAGTTTCCTGGTGAGATCTCGTGAGGTGTTTCGATCTGTTCTTGCATTACTCTTACGGCCAAGCAGCAAGTGCTCTGTTCCTGGCGCCCAGACATGCATGGTTCTGTAGCATGGAGAAGGCAGCAGAAAGCTAGTAGCCAGTAGTCTGAACTTCTGAACATGCACAAACTAATTGCTTTCAAATCTTTGCAAAACCATTAGAAAATAACCATGACTCCTAAAGTTTCAGTTCCAGTTTTGTTTGCTCTGTTATGCTCTGCTCTGCATGTTAAAAATGATAGCACACCCTGAACTGATCCTGCATGTCATGATTTATTTAAATATCTTCTGGCTTGTTTATACCATAATGCAATTTCAGTGAATGCTAGAAATATGAACCCACTTCTCAGTAGCTTGTTATGATGTTTACTGTCCACTGAAAATAATTTCCTGTCTGTATCAAGTATTTAACCTGCTTTTCCATGTCAAGTACACACACGCTTTTAAAGATTGTGAATTCTGTACAGAAATTAATATAGACCCAATGGACATGAGACTACCACTAAAATTCATGTTTTAATGTACTCTTTTCAGTAAAAATGACTCCATGTTCCAGTACCCTCTGTCAATTTTTGACTTAATGAAATCTGATGATCTAGCTAGATTCTGTTATTTCTGGACAGAGCAGCAGTGTTTTGTTTATAACGGAAGCATACGAACTCTGTTTTCAGTGATTCTTGTTGCATTGTACTCATGACTTCATGCACTTCATATCTGGAAAGTTTCATCCCATTTGGATCATTCCTCATATCATTGCATTCATATTTATTGCGATGTATGTTTCTTTCTCTAGAAATTGAAGCATCGGAGAGCGACTTTTGGGTGATCAAGGTTGATCCAGTGGTTCATATTTTGTTGTTGAAGAACCTGTGAAGTGAAGGCAAGCACCTATGCATCTTTCACCCTATTTTGGATGTGTCCTTAATTTTGACTGCTGCTTAATAGGTACTTATGTTGCATTAAGTCGGGCAATAGGTGTTTATGTCTGCTAGCTCCTACTTGCTGCATGACCTATGCTTGTTACTTGATATATCCTGATCCTTGTTAACTGGTCGAAGTTGGGTAGTTATACAGTTTTGTGTCTCACGAATTGCTTAGCCATGCTATAGGTATATCGGTAGAAGTCGATTTGATGGAAGGTCACCATCATTCGCGAGCTACAGGTCTGTTCTTATTTTTCGTACAGTATGGGAATGAACATGAAAGTGATATGATGAACTTGCTGGACTGAGCGGGTGGTAGGCTTGTTGTAGCCCCGCTTGGTCGATTAAGGACCGTGCGTTGTTGTCGTTGTCCTAAGCACTTCCCGTTCATACCACATGTCCGACATAATGGTAAGATAAGCTGATTATCTCATTGCGTACCGATGTTTGTGCTGGTGACCCTATGACGCGTTTGAAAAAGAATTGGAGGAGAGAAAAGGTGGCGGGAATCCGCAGGTTGTCGATGACACTTGGGCAGGAAACCCGGTGCCATAGGGACTGGTACAACCGTCGGGGACGGGCGAGAGAAAGGTTGACACTTGGGCCAAGAGGATGGACTTGTGTCGTGTGGGTACAGTTGAACTCCCCTGCAGGGTGTATAATCGATTCGAATCGCCGCGATCTCGGTCATGATCATGCTTGGTGTACATCGGGTTTCATCGTAGTTAATTGAACTTGCACTTGGAGAGCATGATAAATGGCATATGTGAGAATTACACTTTATGTTACTTGGGTTGTATGTTCAGTTTTAGGTCTATGTCTGCCCATGGGATTTTCTCTTTATGCTTTATGTCTAGCATCACTTAATTAATTTCTCGCTTTACGCAAAATGTCATCCTATGGATTTTTCCTTGCTACCTAACCATATGCATCATCCTTGGAGTCGGGACTAGTATGTGCCCACGGATAAGTCTTGCGAGTACCTTCGTACTCACGGTTGCTTCATTTGAGTTTTGCAGGTGATGGTGTGGTTGTTTTGATTGTTTCTTCCCCGCCGATGCCGGCGAAAGGGACGATGAGTAGTGGCTGTCCTGCTGTTGCTGAACCGGTGGTGCAAGGGCAAGGCACCATTGGCCTTTTGTTTATTTTAAAAATACTTTCCGCTGCGTTCACTTTGATAACATTGATAGAATCTGAACCTTATTTGTAATATTAATCTTTTACTCCCTTTCTTGTTAAGTTTCAGAATTGGAGTACTTCATCTATGAACTTGTAATCGATACAATTGTTGTATGAAATCTGAAATGTATCGGTATGTTCATTTGTGATGAATGCTTATGTTGTTACACCGACGTACTTATAGTCTTGGGCATTGCTTGAGAAGTATGTCGGGGGAATACCGGAGTTGTGTGTATTTTGGTTGAGCTCTCGGCATGGCGTCCTTTTTATGGACAGCCGGCTAGCTCGATTAAAATGGATGCAACTTGGGCGGCTCTCACAGATAGTAAAAATACGAGAAGAGGCTCTGAGGATGACAAATCAAATTCCGTTTTTGGCATTACAAACTATCGAGCTTGTCAGGCAGGGTAGAACCATGGTAAGACAATTCTCTCTAGGCCCCTAACATGTTTTTTATTCCAAAATAATGAATTTAATTGGCATCTCAACTGTGAATGTTCTACTAATAATACCATATTTGTGAATTCATGCCGCTAATTGATATCTCTTTGTGAGTGCTCCATGTGCAGAGTTACATTGAGTCTTGGATTTCTTAGGCCCTGTTTGTTTCAGCTTTTCAGCTGGCTTTTTCAGCTGAAAAGCTGAAACAAACAGCAAACTTCTAATCTGATTTTTGGAGCGCTGAAAAGCTGACTTCTGATGAAATGAACTAAAAGCTGAAAAGTTTGCTGAGAGGTGCTTTTCTGACTTTTGGCATGCTGAAAAGCTTAATATATATTACAAAAGCCAACATTATAAATCTAAGAGACAGTTTTTCAGCTACTCAAACAGCCAACTTTTCTAAAAGCTCAAAAGCTCCAGCCCAAACAAACAGGCCCTTAGCTCGCCCACGACTGGAGTTAGATCATTTGGGCTTGCACTTTCTGGACCTTTTTATAAAAGTTTCCGTTACCCTCAGCAGCAGCGGGTTGTAGATAAGACATGTCAATGCTGCAGCATAATGCCCTGTGCTATACATTTATACAAAGCGCAGGTATTTATTTTTTCAAGAAGAGCACTAACAAAAAGTTATATGAAATAGACTTTGAAAAGATGCAATTATTTGCATAAAATCCCATAGCGTAGGTCATCTTCATGTCATATTTATTTTTCCTTGACAATTTGATTAATGATAAAGATAACGTGGCATGGCTAGTTCTAATAAGATATGAATTAAATGTCTTCGGAAATGTTGTTAACATGATAATAGTTATAATATTTCGATGAAACTATGTACAATTTGTGGATATTGCCTTGCAACAAGCCATCCTTTATTTGCTAGTCCATGAGAATTTGCAATGATCCCATATTTAGATTGTACGCAAACAATATAAAAGCAACATCTATCGGAAATGCACCATCTCAGATGAAAACATGCATGAAGCACATTGTTGACAAAACAACAACTAGACGTGCCTCACCAAACTTCAAACTTTTCAACACTAATGGGAATATTTGGTCTATATTTCCTGGTGTTACGACATCGAGACTATATAGGGTGTGATGAGCTACTTGCCATGCTATGGCTTTTCTAGTTGTGTAAAATGATGTTTGCGGTGCATATTATAGCCATGGACGTCAATATATTTTTTTTCATCCATGAAGTGTAATAACCCACTATAGCAGGGTGTCTATGTCGAAATAGTCCACTACGTAACAAGCACACTACATTTCGTAGTGGTAAAAGAAATCTTTTATTTTGTACAAACTCAATTGATATTTGGATCAAACAGGGGTGGTGGCGCAGTTGGCTAGCGCGTAGGTCTCATATCCTGAGGTCGAGAGTTCGAACCTCTCTCGCCCCAAATCTATAAACAGCGATGAAGAAATGCTCCTGTGGCAACATGGGTCGCCACATGCATCTGATTGCCAGGTGACTTGGGCTAAACAGAGCTGATTTTTTTTATTCCGTTGCTGAGCTGAATAATTGCTGCTGATTGTGCTGACGGATGTACTCAAGTAATACAGAGAAAACTGATGCCGCAACGTCTGATCAGACGATAGCCGATAACTAGTGCCTCGCTGCTGCTGTTTGGATGGGGCGGTTCATTGATTCACGCCAGGACAGAGGATCCCTATGGGTAAAATGCCAGGAAATAAAAATGGTCCTGAAAATTCAGGGAAAAAAATCTAGGAAGATTAATACAGTATCACTGCAAAACATAAATCATGATTTCCAATTCGAGACTGGAACGTACATTGCAATGTGGCAAATTGTTTTTTTTAAGAGGCAAAGTGGCAAATCTACTTAGGAAGATGCTAGTAAAGTACAAAATGTTCGAGCATTGTATCAAACTAGGGAGGCAGGTGCGCTCCGCTGCGCCCACAAGGTAATTTTCTTTTGAGAATCAGTCGAGCACCTAAATTGGGTAGGTTAAAAACATTTAGAGGTGGACAGTAATAATTCTTGTCCAGATTTGCTATTGTTATTTCAGTCAACAATATAAAGTAGTCATTGGTGCCCCATGAAATCAATGAGCTAACCTTCACCGCTGGGTACACCTAGCCAAATGCCGGCAGGGCATGAAAGTGCGCCGTTTGGAAAGCTGAGAGTACTGCCTGCTCTCTTTGTTTTATGTTTTTTTCTCATCTCGCTGGCACACATGCAGGATCACAGGAGGCCACGCGGCCGTCGCTTGCCACTTGCTGCACGCCTGGCCTGACCACATCCAAATCCTCGTGAGGCCATGACCCGTCTTCTTCCTTGCATACTCCCTCCATACCTGTAAAAGAGGGCGTTCTGAGCTTTGAGAGATTTTCATAAAAGAGAGCGTCCTGGTGTGTGAACTCCTCCCGCGGACTTTTTTGCCCCCGGTGCCGCGCTCCCGAGGCGTTTGATTCCTTGGCTTCCGCGGACGAGAATTAAACGCGCAGCCTCTCCCGCTCGTCGCGCAGTTTCGCTCATGCACGCGCGAGATAAAATATTCGGAAGTGGAACCGCGAAATGCGCACGCGAGCAAACAAACCAGATGCAGTTTTTGGACACGAAACAGTGAAAAAAATGCGACCCACGCTCGCAAAGGCACGCGCCATGCAAACATCGGACGCGAAACATGGAGCGCACGAGATCAAAATGCTACCCACGCTGGCAACGCACGCACGTATATCCATCTAAAAAAACAAACAAAAAAAAAAACGCACGCATGTATCTGTATAACAAAAAAACGCACGAACATATCTGATGGTTCGACTCCGGTACAGGTCCCATGCAAAATCGACGTGCTCCTGCAAGCGAAGCAAAAAAAAATTGAGGCCACCAAGAGTTGAAGTTGAACCCGCAACCTTGCGCATGGGAACTAGTGAAACCAACCACTCGGGTGGAGCAACTCAAGTGAATGAAGTGGACCCGAGACTGTATTTGATAAGGACATTCGGGGAAACTTATCTTGTAGTTAATGACTCTTTGGTATGCTAAATCATGTCCTAAACGCCCTCTAATATGAGTATGGAGGGAGTATCTTAGCAGCAGGCAGAAGATGCCGTCCTCTCCCATGCTTTGCTCAATCTCTCACCAAACTTTCTGGCCTCATCAAAGAACAGCAGCACCTACGCGCTCAGGGCTTGTTTGGACTCTACCATGAGAAATGTGCCTGACTCAGGCAGCGCTCTCAGGCTTGCAAGTTGCAAGCATCCCAAACCTTTTTCTGAAGGCCATGCAATGCAAGTACGAGGGATATTTGGGCGATTGGCTGACTCGGTGGGGGGGCAGCTTACGCGTGGATTCGGGAGATGCGCGGCAGCCTCTTCGGCGCGCACGGAGCCCATGACAGCGTTTGTGATGGCTCACATGCGTGTGTTGGTGTCGGCGGCGGTTCTCCCCAGTTCTGGGGTATTGGCCCCCATGCAGACTTGGTAATAGCGGATTACCGACCAAAGGGAAAGATTCGACGATGGTGATGCCGAGAGCGTTACGTCCCTTCATGAAGGCCTTGTCAATGTCGGCATGGAGCACTGTTCTCTTCGGCTCTAACAGTTCTGTTGACAGCAAAATTGACTCCTGCCGCTTCACACACGTGGCCTGAGAGATTTGCTTGACTCTGTTCAGACCAAAACTTGGAACGCAGTGGATTCCAGAGCGTTCCAGTCGATTTTCCCTGCAAATCGACAAAGACGAGAAAAGCGTGTAAAATTCCTAGGCTATCGGCCCCGGACAGGCCGAAGCGTAACCGCAGCCGATAGAATAAAAATAATTTAGAATATTAAAAACACTCGGCTGTCGGCTAACAACGAATCGGCATGTTCGCAGAATTAAATACTTGCGCAAAAGACAGCGACTGCATATAAAAGAGTTGGCATCGGTAAATACTAGTATAACATGCAATCGGCAATTGCTATCGGCAAGCAGGGTACAGTAAAACAGTTGTCATCGGCAAACATGCATTCAGATCTATTACTTGTATAAAAAAAATACTTTTAAGGAAAAGCACAAGCATAAATCTGAATTTGGTAAACAATCGGCTAAACACCCCGAAAGAATTACTGAACTAATAGATCTGACTAGATCGACACGTTTGCTAATTGCTTTCCCCAGGACAAGTCAACTGAAGGAAATCGTACAACTGGACCAGGTCAACGGTAGTACACAATCGACAAACGATAAACTTAATCGGATCTAATTCGTTCAATAATGACTCGAACAACTAGCTTAAACAGTAATCGGCATCGACAATTTATCACAAGGCTATAGCAGGACAAGTCAACTGAACTACAGCAAAGAATCGGACCAGGTCTAACAATTCCAAGCAATAAACGTCCAATGTCGATCTCTAGATTAAACTAAGTTGCCGGATAACTAGCAGCCACATCTGTTCTAATCACGGACAAGTCGACATAATAGAAGTTGATGCGCTTACCTGACAAAATCCAAGTCGACGAAACCGAAGCCCCGATGGACGCCGATGTCGACGAAAATCCCGTCGAGAAGTTGTCGCGATACGCCGAAAAGTGATTGTATCGATTGATTAGGGTCTTACAAGACATCACGGGGCTATATTTATACCCCCGACACACTCCGAATCTAACATGATTCGACCAAGATTGATCTTCTAAATTAAAAACAGGAAACAAACTAAAAAACGACTAGGACCCACACACGCACGGACTCACCCCTTATTCTTCCACGCTTCCGGTGGGCCACCACTTCCTTCTCGCGCCCGCGCTGCTCCTCTTGACACCGACAATGGGCCCCAGGCCAAAATCCGGTGTTAACACATGCCCCCCAAGCCGGGGTATGATATCCTCATGCCCCGGATTGCTTCCTCATTTCCCGCGCTCTCCTCGATCTTCGCAACACTTCCCATGCCTCTGCAACGTCCCCTCCGATTCTTGCGCCGCCTTCAATGCAGCACATCCCATCTTACAAATAGGGGCATCTACCCCTTCATTCTTCTTCTTCCTAACGGCGCATCATCTCCTTCCCCCACATTTTCTCTCCTGCTCCTGCCCTAGCTCCGGCGACCTCATCTTCGGCGACCCCATGGATCCCAACTCACCTGCTGCTGCGACGCCGAGCATGACCATCGACCTCGACATCCCCGAGGTATGACTCATCCCCTCTTTCTCCACTCTTCCAATCCTCATTCCTTCGATCTAGGGCAAGTGGCATTGTAGACTTTTGAAGAACGTCAGGAACCAATCTCCACGCTAAAATAAATCCTGCTTTTACTTTTTATTCGTCTCATATGAATGAATCTGCTCATCAATTCCGCCTCATTACCACATCCTTATTAGATTCATTTTTCTCCGCACTGTTCTTAGGCTCTGCGGAACCAACTGCTGATTCCCATTGAATATAACACCCATCGATACTTGGGACCCATGGGCAATCCAGATCCCATAGATTTCATCTGCGCTGAAACTCTTAGGATGCCCTTCAAGAGATCACCAATCCAACTAGCAACTTGGGTTGGCAGCTTCAGATCTTGGCCTAGTGCAGTCCCTGGTTGGTCTGAATGGTACGACAGAGTCAAAGCATCCAAGATGAACACCTGGACCAACATCGGCATCGTTCGATGCTTAGAACTTTCTCGTGCCGATATGAAGAAGAACGAGCCGATGCTAGCAGCAGCCTGTTACATGTGGTCAGACTCGCTCAACGCCTTCCTCTTCGGTCACGGGCCGATGACACCAACCCTGATGGATGTCCATATGCTTGCCGATTTGGAAGTGTCGACCAGCATTAGCCACTTCAGCATCAAGGTCAGGCCCAACAATAAGATTGAGGTTAGAGATGTAGGTGGATGGGTCAAATACATCACTACCTTCCGAAAAACTGGGCCAGTAACTGACACAGAACACGTGGCTTTTCTGATGATGTGGCTCGAGCACTTCTTTTTCTGCGGCACCCAGCTCAACCCTTCAAACAACTTCCAGAATCTGGCAGAGAGGTTGGCCTCAGGCATCAAAATGCCGATCGGCAAATACTTACTTGGCGCCCTGTATTCCTCCCTCCATCAAGCTGCCGAAAAGCTCTAGCACAACAAACCAGTTGGCAACATTGGTGGACCATGGTGGTTCCTCCAGCTCCGGCTCTACCTGCAGATGCGCAAAGCCCTCGACATTCCAGAACTGCATAACATGAGCTTTCCAGATTCCAAAGGAAATGGACGCCAATGCACAATACTCGGCGAAGCTCTTGCGTCGATAGATGGCGCAAAAATGAGTGCCGATGAAATGGCTTTGTTTTACACAACCTTTTATAAGGGAATCAAACACGAACATCGGGAGTGGTTCCCATACGGCGCAGAATCCGTCTTGGCGAACTTTGAACACCCAACTTCTTTTCGGGTCGACAACCCCTTCGGCA